AAATCCTGTTAATAGACTCTCCCTACATTCATATGTGCATAAAATTTGCTTTTGGTTTTACTTTCCAAGAGTTTTTTTATTTTTTATTTCAATGTGTTTGTTGTCTTGTCATAGAGAGTGTATGTGTGTGTGTTATGTTTAGATGCGGTATGATCTACATGGAGCCGCATCAGTTGGGCTGGATGCCTCTGAGAGACTCCTACATGAACACATTACCTGAGACCCTGGCAGATGAGCACAGAACCCTGGTGAGAAGGATTGTGCACATGCTGTTAAAATAATAAACATTTCTGAATGTAATGATCCCCTGTGTGTGTTTTGTTTTAGATTACTGATCTCTTTAACTGGCTGGTTCAACCTTGTTTGGACTTTATTTACCATGAGTGTGGATTCTTAGTTCAGACATCACCTATTCACCTGGCCTATAGTCTGATGCGCCTGTATACCTGCCTACTAGGTACATGCACATAAAAATATGTACATTATACATATCTTCAATCATTTTGGGATCTGTTTGCTCATGTCACATTTTATTGTGCAGATGAGATTTTTCAGTCAGGACAGGAAGGAGCAGAATCTATGACGAGTCAGCAGGTGACGCTGTGGCTTCAGGCCCTGTTCGTGTTCGCTGTGGTCTGGAGTTTGGGAGGAACCATCAATGGCAACAGCAGGAAGAAGTTTGACATCTTCTACCGAAACCTTATCATGGGCACAAACACCGATCACCAGCGACCCCAGAGTGTGAAACTCACCAAGAGCAACGTGTTCCCAGAGAGAGGTCTACATAATGTATTTGGTTGACTTTTAATGACAGGGTTTCTATGGTCATGTAAAATCTGTAAATATAGACAATTGTGATTCCCAGGCCCTAGCAAAATATGTAACTATTTTCTCGTAATTCCTATTCCCAGTCCCTGTGGACTATTAACTTTTTAGTGGATTCCAATAGAGGATATTTTTATGCATAAAGAACCTGATAAAACCAAACATCAATGCTAAGAGTCATATACAATCATTTTAAAAACATGTTTATGAATCTTGTCTGCTGTCTGTTTGTTCTGTTCTCCACACAGGCACCGTCTATGATTATTATTTCCATAAGCAGGGTCCCGGTCAGTGGAACAACTGGACCGAATCCATCACTAAAGAAGACAAAGTCATACCTGCCGGCACAAAAGTTAGTTCACAAAAATCAGGGTTATTAGAGTTAACTAAAACTATAAAACAGCAACTAAAACCAACATTTTTGTTAACTGTAATTAAATTTTTTTTAAAATTTAAAACGTAAAACTTTTATTTTATTTCAGCTAGTTGCCACAGACGACATTTCTTATTTTTCATTTGGTTTAACTTAATGTACTAAAATACCAAAAACTAAAACTGAAATAAAAATTTATAAAACTGTATAGCCATATTTAAAAAACTAAATAATACAAAAAGTTACAAAAAATTTTACTTAAATCGAAATAAAAACAACAACAAAAAAAATCTAAATATATACAAAATTCTAAATATTAATGAAAACTGTAATAGTATTCCATAAGCAGGGTCCCGGTCAGTGGAACAACTGGACCGAATCCATCACTAAAGAAGACAAAGTCATACCTGCCGGCACAAAAGTTAGTTCACAAAAATCAGGGTTATTAGAGTTAACTAAAACTATAAAACAGCAACTAAAACCAACATTTTTGTTAACTGTAATTAAATTTTAAAAAAAATTTAAAACGTAAAACTTTTATTTTATTTCAGCTAGTTGCCACAGACGACATTTCTTATTTTTCATTTGGTTTAACTTAATGTACTAAAATACCAAAAACTAAAACTGAAATAAAAATTTATAAAACTGTATAGCCATATTTAAAAAACTAAATAATACAAAAAGTTACAAAAAATTTAACTTAAATCGAAATAAAAACAACAACAAAAAAATCTAAATATATACAAAATTCTAAATATTAATGAAAACTGTAATAGTATTTAGGGGATAATTGTGCATTTTATAGAATAAGTAAATTTATTTTTTGCAAAAGAGAGTAAAAAAAACAGAAAATGACCAGTTTTTCCAAATATAAATTTTATATACTTGTATTAAAAAAAGCAATACATTTTTTTATTTAAATATTAAAAATAAAAGTTAAATCTAAAAGTAAATCTTTAATATAAACATAAACTCTAAAAATGAATCTAAATGTTAATTCTAAATACATAAGTAAACATATAGAGTGTTGAATGAACCAAAGGAAAATCACGCAGGGTAATGTACTCACAGGGTAAAGTACTCTCTTTCTACCTTCTTTGATGTCTGTGTCTCTCTCTCAGGTGTCTGATCTTATCATACCCACGGCAGAAACGTCACGCCAGCTCTTCTTCCTCAGGACGTATCTGTCACATGAGGTGCCCATACTAATCGTGGGACCCACAGGAACCGGAAAGTCTGTGATCAACAACAACTTCCTGATGTCGCTTCCCAAGGAGCGCTACACTCCCATCTGCATCAACTTCTCCGCCCGGACCTCTGCCAACCAAACCCAGGACATCATCATGTCTAAGCTGGACCGCCGCCGCAAGGGCGTGTTTGGGCCACCGATGGGGAAGAAATGCATCATCTATGTTGGTAAGAAGTAGATTTAGTACAAACACTGATTGGCTACATTTATTGAACAGCTAAAGCCCTGCTACCTACTTTTATGTCATTTTAAATAAAAAAATAAAAGTTTCACAAGTTGTGAAAAAGTTTTCCTAAAAAATAGAAGTTTTAGGTTGCACTTTCAGTTCTTATGTATTAATTAAACTCTAGAGAATTGTATGAATGCACAGATAAATAAATTCATAAATAAAGATGAAAAAATTTAGGTATTGATGCAGTATCATAAGAAAAATAATCACAATATACGATTCTATTTGTACAGCTCTATGTATTGTAAATGTTTTCTGTTCTTTTTACAAAAACTTTTTTTTTTGTATAAAGAGCAAAATTGTAATTAAATTACAGTGTGCCACATATTATGTTCATAGAGATTAAGTTATTAATAAACCTAATAAATCACATGCTGCTTTCCTTTAATTTGATATTGGATACAACAACGAGTAAAACCGTCTTTACACAATAAAATGACTAAACCGTCAACTAAAATTAAAATGATATATGATTGTATATGATACAAATTTTTTTGTATAAATTCAAAATTCTAATAAGTGCGGCACATATTATGTTCATAGATATTAAGTTGTGAAAAAACTTAATAACTACTATGCTACTTTCCTTTAAATTTGAATTTTCCACTGTAAAACATTCTGTAGATGATCTGAATATGCCTGCAAAGGAGATATACGGTGCTCAGCCGCCCATTGAACTGCTGCGCCAGTGGATCGATCATCATCATTGGTATGATAAAAAAGACACGTCCAGACTGGACATTGAGGATGTTCTGTATATGTCTGCTATGGGGCCCCCTGGTGGAGGGAGAAACGACATTACAGGTAAATCTCTGATCCTAAATGCTCATCACATAATCAGTCTTGCGCAGTTTCTTCT